GTTAAAAAAGAGAGATAAACATACTCTTGTTATGATCGTGATGATATTTCTCTCACAATAACTAATGTTTGTTTATTTACATTTAAGGAAAATATACAAAACCAGAAATATTCTGAATATCTCTTTAGAATCTGAACTAAATATCTTATTTATATGTCATGATTTCTGTGGCACTCCAATAATAAGACTGGATAGCTTACATACATAAAACGACAAAACATCAGAATGTTAAAATCATTAAATGAATCATCATCCTGGTCCCTTGGAGTGAGCAATCCTGAAAGTCACTAGTATCCAAACATCAAAAACTTTATAATGATCAACACTTTGAATTGTACTTGGAAACTTACACCCAGTAGAGTGGCCAAAAAAGCAGTGTTACTTTGCTGAATCGGTTTTTTGGCCTATCAGCAATTTGCTCCCAATTAAAGTTCCTCCAAATAGTCTTCAAAGACAATATAAGATGCTGATAGTTCAGCCACAAGGGAATGAGGGCATGAGTGACTCATCTAGCACAGCAGCCAAAATTGGGCACAATCTCTGCTGTATGCAGCTTCCAGGAGAATCCATATATGCAAAAGGATCCGTAGACAGAGATTTTTTTGGGAGGTGGGAGAAAGGACAAGTGACAAAATGTGTGTCACAACTTGAATTCCTTCCCTTGCATATTTACATGTAACACTGCAGAACAAATTTGGAAAAGTAGAGCCTATATCGTAATACCACAAAGCATAGAACACTGGAATGGATCCCTTTGTTCCCAGATCATAGACCTCCTCTTTTAGGGATAGCACAGAGATCCACAGCCAAAGTTGGAGCCACGTGGTTTTTGAGTGAACAGTCATTCCCTCTTGCTGTGTGAACTTGTTTGACAGCTTCCAGACACTGGGTTAGGGCAACCACTGCTTGGCCCAGGGCAGGGATGTACAGTATAATTGGGAATTGTCAGCCTACTGATGATTTCTGATTCTGGACTGATATATGATCTCTTCTAATGATTTTATTAAGATACTAAATAAGGGAGAGGACCAAGCCCTGAGTTTTGCATATTGTACTGGCCAAGATCTTGATTTCTCTTCTCCATCACTACTGACTTGAACTGCTTCATTAGGAAGGAAAATAACCTCTAATAAAATATTATTTCTGAGTTCCAGCCCTCAGACACAGTCCCCAAAAACATGATCATCTAGTAGGATCAAAATAACTGCTATTCTTTAATCTAGATCCTATTGCAGATCACCCATAAGTATTATAAAACAGATTTTGCCCCACACCAAATCCTGAAACTGGAGTGATGAGGATTCAGATATACCACTTCTTCCAAGATCCTCTGCAACTGAGACCTGATCACTTTTTGAAGATGAAACATAAATTGTGCTATATTGCCAGATATGGGGGGCACTTCAGAGGGAGATATGTCACCTTCTCCTTCAAGATACCTGATATTACTGTCTCCTTCATAGAGGCATTACTAATCCAGCTTGCCAGCCTCTTCTTTGGCAGGTCAAAAAAGCTACAAAGGGCAGGGGTCCAGTCCATAAGTCTCAGAGCTCATAAAACAGAAGACTGCTTTTCTTCAGTATTCATAAAATCAAATGAATCGGAGATGATCTTGCGGACATTCTTCCAGTCACCTCATCAAGCCCTCAGTAAGTATGAGCAATTTAATCTTTGACTCTTTCTAAATTTTATTTGACTCTTTCTAGACTAA